TGCCGATCATATATCATTTGTGAACTGAGTGAATTTGTTCCACATGTCTTTTGAACATGTGGTGCACAAAATGTCTAGTAATATAGCGAATCTGGTGAAGAGGTGCCGAGTATATTCTCATTACAACAACGTGCTTGAATTAGTGTTGGATCAGTAATGCACATGAATATACTTTGAGAGTGAGAATGAGTCCCCCCACTTTGATTTTGCTTGAGATAAGGAATCTTTTTCAGTATTAATACTGAATTTTCATTATTATTAATATTTTCCGGTAGTAAAGATCGGAGAATGTCTCAATAAAAAAGGAGGAAAAGAAAAAAAGGAGAAAAACTGCTGTATGTTTGTTAATAGGAAGCTTTTCACACAATTCACTGCCAGCCCTTTGAAAATGGAGATCTTCAGTTAGCAGAGATTTGCTGTCTGTACAGCAGGATGTGTGTGCATGCATGCACACTTTCACAGTGTCAGCATGAATAAGCAATGACTGTCATTAAAATAACTGTAAAGCAAGGTTTTAAACTCAAAGTCACTGATCAGTCAGCAACAGGTTGTTGTGATGAAGCATTTGCATTTTGCTGCCTGATTATTCTCTAAGAGTCATCATCTTCATAGCATTGAGGGCATGAAGTCTGTTAGGATAGTCTGCTTTTTTCTCTCTGAGATGCAAGGTGTTTCTGCATGTATTTCTACAGTTGAATTGAGTGGCTCTAAGTGAGGGTTAACTTTCTGATTTGTCCTCCTGACCTTTAACTTTACTCCAAACAAAATATTGAATTATAGACTTTCACAATTTACTTTAATTTCCTAGATAAAATATGTATGAGTTTTTCTTTAGTAAATGTATCCATTTTCCTTTTAGCCAATTAAAATAGGATGTTTTAACGAGGAACTTTGCATACAAGACATTATATTGAGTCTGACTGGCATTTTCCTGTCTGACTTTTTTGGCACAACAAGCCAACTATAAGCCATTTTGGTTTTGGCATCAGGAAATCTAAAGTAAATATGTCAATATTAGAAGCACAGATTTTGACTTTACTTAGTGAAAAAGTAAGGCAAACGTATTTGAAAGGTCTGTAGAGGTGATTTTTATTAAATTTGAGTAAGAACTACAGCACGTTTTCTTTCCTCTTCATTGATGTTTTTTATCTGAGAGACACAACCTGTAGTTCTGGGAAATAGTCTTTCTCTGTAATCCTTTTTTGTTAATGGAGCTTATCTTAATGCCTATAACTTGGTAGTATTGCTAGGAATGTAAGCGACAAATGCACTGGAAAAATAGTTTGTGAATTTATCTATTTTTTTGTTGTGAGTTTATCTGTTTTTTGTTGTGAACCTCTGATACGTGGGGCAAAATTAATCTCGCCTGATTTTAAAAGTCCACCAAAATGAGCTAACAGAGCTTCCTTCATCATCAGAGAAAAGAAATTGATTCTTTCGAGGAAAGTCCACCTGACATATTTGAGACCTCTCTGTTATGATGCCTCATATCTTTCACTGACCGTGTTGACTTAACTCTCCGTTAACTGTAGAGGAAGGTGGAGAGAATTAGCTTTCCCCTTGGTCTTGTGCTTGGCTGTGTGAATCCTGCTTGCACTACCTCTGGGATAAATGTTGAAGCAACACCTTTCCATTTTGATCACCATCAGCAATGGTTTCTGCTTTACCTCTAGGAGCCAAGTCATGGTCCAATATCATGGAGATCCTGGAGGAGAAGGATGGCGTTGATACCGAACTGCTGGTTTATGCGATGACCTTGGTTAATAAGGTTTGCGTTCTTTTTTTAGTGTGACTGGAAGTGGTAATATTAGTATTTTCAATTGCATAATGCTCTGCCCTATTATTGAGAGTATATGACAAAAAAGACCTGTCACTCAGGGGCTGTAGTTGGGAGCAGAATTGCTATTTTGCTAGATGTCGTGCACAAGCATATCATGACATGGTTCCTCTCCCAAAGCTGGCAGTAGAACACAAAACAAAACTCAACAGGCTAGCCCAGCGACTTGTCCAAGGAGGGAAAGAAAGCATGTACTGATGAAGAGATCACATGTTCACAAAGGCTTGTATTGTGCGCAATTTTACAGTTTCAGCGCATTTAAATTTCTTTTCACTGTGAAGCAAATATGATGAATTTAACAGATCTGAGTGCTAGTAAGAATGTTTCTGCTTAAAAATGAAGAGAGAAAACATCTTTTGATTTTGTGTTTCTTTCTCTGTAGTTTTCAGAGGCCTTTATTACAAATAATTGTTTCCTAGTAAAATCAAACATTGTTCAAAGTACTCACATGTGCTAAGGAGAGGGAGAAAGTGAAAGGCCTGTAAAAGGTGAAATTAGCCTGAAGTCCTTAAAAATTAAAAAGTCCTCAAATTCTAAAGAAATCTTGAGATTTAAAGTTGGATCCATTTAAAAATGGATCTTTTAAAGAACACAGAAAATCAGTGTATTACTAAAAAATCAAAATAACTTTTTGTTTTGTGATTGTACTTAATAGGTCAGAGTACTACCGAATATTATTGTTACTCATTATGTTCTTTTAAAGATCCTGAGTTCTGTCTGTGTAGATCACGAATCAGGATACCAGCCTATTCTATCCATAGCTACATGGTTTTAAGGGTTCTTTTGTTTTGTTTTCTTTTTGATAAAATACTTTCTTAATGGTTAGTATTGTCGAATAAAGACGTCTGAGAGGACCTAACCTCCTCCAGTAGCATCACTGATATCACAGTACTTTTGTTTAGAGCTGGCCTTCCTCCTGCTAATATGGTAGTAGAGTTCCTCTCAATTTTAAAAGACCTTCTTATTATCTATTGCTGTGATCTTTCTGAAAGGCAGTATGTCCTTTTCATGCTTTTAACTGTAAGTGCTATTAAAGTTGAGGCAGCTATAAACTTACTAGTTTGTTGTTGATTTTTTTTACCATTTCCATTTTATGCCTCATTGTATATACAAGGATCCTCGTTCTAGGAGAATTCTCTTAATCATTCTTACTACTGTCATTTGCCTGGTGACTGACTTTTAAAAATATTTTGCTCTGTATTGACTCTGTCATCCAACAATTGATCCCTCTAGTTTGATTTTTTTCCACTACATTTCAAGCTATTTTTAGGAGGAGGTAGTTCTTTAGAAACAAACAAAAGAAAAAGCATCTCACAGTCAAAGGAGCAAAGCAGTTAGAAAGATCAAGGAAGGGAGGAATCCCACAATGCCATGCTTATAATTATGATCTGGCTTATGGACAGCTTTATGATGTTCTTAATGGGATTTTTTTCATGACTTTAGAGAAAACAGCAAGCAGCATGTCACAGTTGTATTTTTTTTTTCCCTGCAGAGAGTACAAAGAAGGCTCAGATGATTTCAGCTTCTCTAGGCAAGCAATTGTCAGACTTTTCAGTACAGACAAAAATCTTCAAGAGGAATTTGTTTTAAGGAAACATAATCTTGCTCCCTTCTCTTTCTTCAAGTACAGATTTACAGACTGCTCATGAGTACAAAACCCACCTGGACAGCCATTACTCCAGTCCTTTTATCATCTGTCCCTCCTCTGCTGATACGTAACCAATTTATTCAGGCTGACTGATATCATTAATCTATTCTTAATTTTTTTTTTTACAGTTCAGGCATTAATGAATCTCTCAAATGAGACTCGTCCCAATACAGATACTTCAGGTTCTTTATAGTTGCAGTATAATCCTTGTTACCTCCCTTTGGTTCCTGCAGTCTGTTAGCTCTTATACTAATCCCTACTTTCTTCATTTTAACAACTAGTTTCCCGTGTGGCACTTCATCAGAACTTTTACTGTGGTCCAGACAGATTAAACCTTTTGTTTCATTTATATAAAAGAAACCAGTCATCAAATATAGAAAGAAAATTCCGTGTTGTATTTAATTCATGTAACCATTTACTTCTATACTTTAATTACTGTTTTTTGTTTCCCAAATTTTCCGTAAAAGCTCTTTTATTGACATTACACTGGTGGCTTTGTAGCGGTAAGATTACTGTTGTTTTTCTTTTTACCTGTATGGAGTATTACATTTGTTCTTTGACATCATGCAATACAAATGACCATGCTGAAGTTGTTTAAAAAATAAGTAGGTAGATAAAATTATTACTAAATATGTAAAAATCACTACTTTTTTAATAAGTTCAGATAGCACTTAATGTATTTTAGCAGATCCAATGTAAGACTAGAATTTTAGCACCAGCTTCCAGACCAAAGGTTACTAGGAGAAACATAGAGTACTACCAGTAGTCCCTTAGCTGTAGCTGAGAATGTGCTGTTTCAGGCCAGTTTGGTGTTAATACAGCACCTGGCACCTCATTTCTCTGTGATGTGTCTTAAGTGCATCAAAAGTGCCGCACTGGGACAAGGATCTTTTAAGGTCAATGTCCTGTGTCTGACAGGGACCAGCACCGGATGTTTCAGAAGAAGTTGTAGTTCCCAGGAAAGCACACCCATGGGGGACACTTCTTCCTATCCAAAAGCAATTGAAAGCTTGTTTAATATCCTTAGGCGTGTTTGTTTACTGTGTACTGCATTTCATCATATCATGCAAAATTTAGGTAATGTCTCTGTTTAGTGTGTGGGCCATCTAGTGGAGCTCAATCTGTTGGATGTTTAGTAACCAGAGCAAGATTTTTTAGATGATGTGGACCTCTTCACACGCAGGGAATATACTTAGCTAGACTCTCTGTGGTCTGTATCACTGCTTTATACTATTGCTGTTTTGTAAAGGACAAAAGACACCATGCCTATTATTTTCACTACCTAGTACCATCCAGAACTACACATTTTTAAAAATGATAAATAGAGCGAGCCTTTCAGTCTGCAGCTAGGCATAGGTTAGACCTAATTTTTAAGTCTGCTTTTGTTCAGAAACATAGCTGAGGATATGTAATAAGAATATTATGGTATTACCAGTTGTGTACGCTGTCTAATAGGCTTGATCATCTAGGAAAACGTTTGATGGTTATATTCCTATAGAACTTCCCCCCCATACTACTTCCCCGTAGGCTTTTTGCCTTTCTTTTCATTGTAACAGTAGCAGACTGTTACTGTTAGCAGTAGGCAAAATTTCTTGTTTTGTTAGTTAAAACGTGGTTGAGAAGATGCATCAAGCTCATAACTCTCAGGCTGGCGTTTCGGTTCTAATTTAGCTCACCATTGCAAAAGCAGATGCTCACGACAGAGCTCACATCTGAGCAGGCATTCCCAGAAGGACTTGAGAGCAACTTGTAAAATCACAAAACAGACCAAAAAAAATCATGTAACAAGCTCTTCCTTAATTCAAGGATATTTTCTGGAACTGCAACCGGACAGAGGCGTAAGACTAAATCTTGACATTCAGAATCATGTTTCCTTTGTAGATCTGAATTCCGAAGAGTTTCAGATTTGATATCCCAGTTGTGGTCTAAGCTAGTGGTACCATAACATAAAATCCAACAAGTAAGCCACAGAGTATAGTTTAAACGCACTTCTCTCAGTGGCTGAATTTTAATTCTCTGGGCATATTTTCATTTTATAATTCAGGCCTTAGGGCAGAAGGAAATATTTGGTACTTGTATGTGTATTTTGATTCTGGAGTATCATTTTGATCTCAGCCGGCTCCTTAGGAAGGAGCAAAGACCTTGCAAGGACCTGCCAAATTTATGCCCCTGTGCTCTGCTCCTTGATAAAGCAACTGGGAAAATGGTGGCGCACGCTTGTTTTCTAATACCACAAGCCAGAATTAGTCAGCCAGTTAGGCAAGCGCATCATACCCGTTGGGTTTAATTACTGCAAAGGGCTTTCTCCTATGCCAGACTGAAGTGACCTAGTTATGGCGCTGGTGGTGCCCTTTTCATCCTATTTTATCATGTTGGAAATTGAATTTTATATGCATTAGCCTCTGAAAATGGATCTGTGAGTTTAATGACAAACCATGCAAAGGAAAATTATTTGATTACTATAAATGAGAGTTTAATTGCCCAGTTCTAGCCACTAGCGTGCAGTGAAAATTGGTTTTGCTCAGCTGCGTGATTAAAAATTGTATTAACCAATGAAAATCTCCTGGCAAAAGCAGAGCTGCCAGTTATTACTACTTTGTGCTGCTGTGTTGCCCTGTCTGCCCAGCCTGCCTGACTTCAGGTAAGAAGAAAGGCAGGTGTCCTGCATAGCAACTCAGGGCCATTTTCTCAATTTTTAGCAAGTACATGCACAGAAGCAAAGGTGTGGTTGGTTGGCTGCCCTTTTGCACATGAGGCGTCACATTTAATTGTGCTTGAAGACACTTAGCATAGTTGCTGTCTACTGCTCAAATAAGAAATTGAATTTACATTGAATTTGCATTCTACATTGGATTTACAGTGTAGCAGTTTCATTTACTGAAGCCTCAGGTTTCTGCTCATTGCTAGGTGCTAATTCAGGAAGGAACAAAGCGTACATGATATCTATTTTTAGCACTCTTCAGAAAAATTTAATTGCATTGTATTCAGTAGGTTTTAACCGTATGCTTAAATAGCGTCCTGGATAGATGTGACTTCTTAATTAGAGCCTGAACTTATAAGCCTAACACTTCATTTGTGTTGTTGCTGAGCCTTCAAACTACAGTGATCTCCGACTGAACCTCACCAGATCTGACTATAGTCCCAAGATGACTGAATGAGATATCGCTATGTCGCGTTTTATTTAAAAAACAAAAACAAAAAAAACTTGACAATGCATGTTTTTCCAGTGCCTCATTTCAGTGGAAAGAGGTGCTTCTAAAAAGTGCAAGGTATTTCATTTATCTATTTCTATCGTTTGCTATTCACATAATTCAGACCAATCCTCCTGAATGTAAAGCTTATCTCTGTGGGGAAGTAGCCCGTAATAGCTGTTGTGTTCTGCATTGTGCTGCTCTGAGCAACTTTGGAAATGCCATGTTTCAAAAACAAGCACTCTGGGAGCATGATTCATCCTATCTCATTCATGAAGGGAACGAAAATCTTTCTGGAGAGTGCCTGGCTCTTGCACCCACTCACTCTCTGTCTTGCTCATTCCTTCTCTATTGGGAACACAGATAAGTAGCCTGTGGTAGGCGACTGAGTATTTAAAGTTAGGAAAGAGGAGCTTGCCTCAGAGTGGATGTCTCCTTGGTGAGCTAACCCAGAATAATTGCTGAGCTTCAAGTGTGTGCACTCCCTTATTTTTGCAGAAGCAGCTCTGTACAAACTGACTCTTGCAATGGCACACATGCTGCTCCACAAGTAACTTGCCCTGTATGTTCAGTAATTTCAGCTCAACATCAATGCACAGCAGAATTAGACTCAACTTCTTGAATCATCCATAAAGAACAGTAGAAATTCAGCACAAGCTGAGTAGAAAACAATAGCAAATCAAGATAGTCGTGGTCTCTGTCGACTTTGTAAATGTACAAAGCTGTCCAACGCCCATGTCCTCTTCCCAAACATCCCTCTGCAGTACAGTTGTGGTAGTGGGTTGATTCCACCACTGCTTCCTACACTGACATGGAATATCTGAAATACATGGCATACTGCAGAAGACCACCTTCCATTTCTTCTGGGTTTTCTGAATCCATCAAAAAATGGCAAACTAGACTATGGTAAGAAAAGTGCTCTCTCTCTCATACAGGTACCGTATAAAGCTCTAAATTCAAGTAGTTCATGTTCAACAACTTTTACTTGTTGGCATCAGTTATTTGCTAGTGTGCAAAGACTCCTCTTTAATGTTGTTGGTGAGAATTTACCCCATAATTAGGAATTTGTAACTCTTCTAATAATTCACTGGAGTTAAGGGATCAGCATACCTTTACTAAGACTTTTGAAGTTGAAAAGGAGGAAAGGAGTCAATATCTCCGTAACCTAGAACAACTTGTGCATTAGGAGAATGACCTGTGCTGCAGGTGTGGAGGACAGTAGGCGTATGGCGCAGGATGTTTCCTGCTGTCCTCACATCACGCAGCTGTACATTGCACTTTTTTCTTCTTCAGGCCAAAGTTACAGGAATCAGTAGGAAATCAGCTTCACTGTTCTTAGCTAAACCATTTTTTCTCTCTCTTTGCTTTTATCCCTGTGTTTGATGCTTTAATATTCTCTGTTCTTTAAATCTGTAGTTGAATGAAGCCAGGAAGAACCCAACTGTGTGTTTTAGAGACCTACATTTTCCATACTTTTTTGTATGAAATAATGACATTGATTTGTTTTTCCAGTTATTTGGGTTTTTACACAGTGCACAGAGTTGTTTGTTAAAAGCTGTGCCACTTGCTTTTTATTTTCTAAGTGTCTGTAATCCCACATCATGATTTTTGTTTTATTGAAATCATACATAGCACCACTTGCTACTCACTTTTAGAAGCCTTTGTTTAATTTTGTTCAAAACAAACAGATTTAAATGTTTTTCCTTTGATTCTTAGACGCTGTCGGGGTTGCCAGATCAAGACTCTTTCTACGACGTCGTGGACTGTCTGGAAGAGCTAGGCATCGAAGCTATTTCACAGAGACACTTGAACAAGAAAGGAACAGACTTGGACTTAGTTGAGCAGTTTAACATTTATGAGGTAACATAACATGCCCTGTTTTATGCATCTTACAGCTTGTGCAGACTTCAAAGCTGGGAGGAGGGGGGAATGTAACCTAGGTGAAATTTTGTTATCTATTTTATTTTAAAAGAAAAACATCTGGTTGTTAGATGTATTATACACATTCATGTGTGTGACCTGCTACAGTACATGACTAACGCTTAGTATAAATGCATTTTGTGCTAGACTTGGGGCATACTGCAAGGCAAAATAGAACGTTTACTAGCATCTTTAGAGGCAGTTCTGCCTGCAATTAAAACGTTCTGAGACTGCTAGTTACACGTCCTGAAGTAAGTACAAGTTCTTGCCACATGCAAAAGTATTCAGCTCATGAAAAAGGTTCAGCTGAGCTCAGCTTCACAAATACCACTCACTTCACAGCTGAATATCCAGCAAATCTTTGTTTACGAGTTTACACTGGACCAGTTCTTATACGGTTTGCAGCAATGGAGTAATGAATGACTCCATGTTCACCACATACATATAAAATAACCACTTCTGAAATATTTATATGCTAAGATAGGCTATCCGGTTTCTTAAGGATTAGAGCCTTTCTCAGACTTCAGGAAGTTTTAGGGGGGAAGTTCAAACTGAAGTTAATGTAACGTAATTATGAATTCATATTCTGGTGTGATGAAGTGAAATGACTTTCCCTCCATCTACGTCCACCAAAGAATTTGGTTGATTTGATTCTCCATTTTCTTCATCAACTCTACATCCATGTCACTTCGTTAACTTCAGTGGAGTTACTCCTTATATGTTCCAGTTTGCAGGAAGAGTTAAGCTGATATAGGAACCCAAGAATGACAGAGGGCTGCATGTTCCCTTTTATTTTTGTTGTCAGAGGCATCAACTCATAACATCCTTTTCCAAAAAAGATCATTAAACTTAAAAGTTGCTTTTTTGCTCCTGCTGTACCTCTTGAAAAGGCCTGATGGTAAAATTAGCAGATTGCTTCATGGCTACCAGCTTTCTTTTGATAACCAGACTAAATTTAGACATACCAACATAAATTCATTCTTTTTCTGCCAGTGTTGTTCTTTATACAAATAATTTTTTTTCCCGCATAAATAGATTTTACTCCTTAAGCAGAAATATCACACATCCCCCTGCCTTCGTTTTACCACATTCTCTTCTGGTAAGAGTCATCAGAATAATAAGACTAATAGAAACAGGAAGAACATATCCATTCTTCTGTTCACCCACGTAGACTTTTTCTATAACCGTTCCTATCCGAATGGGTCTTTCTCAAATAATGATGACTTAAATTTTGTGCTGTGTTTCATATGAGGTCTAACAGTCCTTTTTACACAACGATTTCATTGTTTCTGTCGGAAACATCTTTCGTCATGTACTCTAAGATTGCACTTGTGGGTTTTTTGTTAGAACGATGTCATGTTGGCAGCCCGTAGGCATGGCTGTAATCAAGATGCTAGGTTCTGCATCCACATCCTACTCCCCTGCTGTGAGCTCCCAACCTATGTCAAAAGTTTCTGTCCAATGTCATAGCAGTCATGCTATTCTCAACATTGTTCTCTTCTTGTGTTATCCATATGCTCCTCTGTACTGATAGTGCTTCTAAACTGGCAGGAAACAGTAAATGGCATATGTGAAAATAGTTATGCTAGCCTGACAACTAGGTGGCTTGGCAGTGTGTGGTCTGGGTTTTTTATCCATTGTCGTACCAGTTCACAGAAATAGGTTTGTTTTGTTAGTTTTTTTCCTTCATTTACTTTGCAGAGAGATCTGTAAAAATAGAAATTTTAAGTGAGATTCAGTTATGTGTATAACTGTTGGTCTCTTTCTTGGCTGAGAAGAAATTACGGCACTTCGTGACGTAAGTTCTGAAGTAATAGATATTAACGTCCACTTGTGTTCCCAAATCTGTATATGTTATCTACATGTTGAATCTTTAGTCAGCCTACGCCTGAGAGTTTTTTCTGTTGATTTCAGTAGAGCCAAGACTTCACCTAAGTGTTTTGAAAGGAGGTAAAGGCAGCTGGGTGTCTGACACTATTCAGCTTCTTTAAAAATTAAGTCCTAAATAAAAAGAAGAATATAAGCGATCTAGGAAATCTGTTGTTACAGGTCCTGTAGTCTTCTATAAAGGATGCCAGTATAGAATTCCATTATTAGAGCTGCTGCATGGTACTAATGGATAGGTAGCAACTTAGATGGATGGCTATAGAATTGGTGCCCCTAATAGGAGTTGTGTTGTGACCAGGTAACTTTGAAAGTGTAAATGTGAAGGCCTATGATATCTAAAGGAACGACATAAGAAGTCTCGACTCTCTCTCCTTCTCAGATGACACTGAGACACGAGGATGGAGATGAAACTGCTGACCCTCCTCCCAGCGGGCGCAAGGACAGAAGGAGGGCCAGTCTCGGTGCTAGTGAGCGAAGGGGACTGGAGCGCAGGCGGAGCCGGAGACACTCGGTACAGAATGTCAAAAGCACTTTATCAGCCCCTGCGAGTCCGTGCAGTCAGTCGAACCCTGCCTTCATGCTAGGCCACGGACAGTGCATCGAAGACCTTAGTGAGAAGTAAGTGCATGAGCTAAGGAATACTCCTTTCTTTTCCTCTATTGGTTTCCATTATGTTCAGTGCACTTTACTGATCTGCCATACATTTATGTTTCCTTTTTTTCCTCTTTCCATTGCATTAAAAAAGAAAAAAAAAAAGGTTAAAAGAAACCTGGTTTGTGGGTGACTTGATTTATCTACATACCTAGGTTCTTTGGCACCATCTACCCCTAGTAAATGGACCAAACCCCCATAAGGTAGAGCATTCAGTGTGGGAACTAACCAAGGTTAACTCCATCTATTTTATTCCACAGATTTTATATTCAAAATATCAATATAATTAGAAGATTGTAACAAGACTATAGTCACCGTAATGCAGATTTATTTTTCCTGTATATGTTACAGTTAATTCTTTTCTTTTTTTTCTTTTTTCTCTGCAGTTATCATTCCAGATAAGTATTTTCTTTTGAGGCTACACTGTAGTAGTAAATGTATGTAATGTTTTATAATTAATGGAAGAGAGACAGTAATGACTAGTTGAGGAGCAGTCTGCAACACTGCATTGCCAGTACCATTACAGTTGGCTTGGGCTGTGCACGATTACAAAAAATGGGAGCTGCAGATCCTCAGCACATCTGAATACCACACAGGAGGGCTGGAATTAATTTTGCCCAAGTTAGATGTCTGATCATCCTGCCTCCCTTTGAAGTCAGTGGAGTGTAGAAAGCACTTCTAGATCTTCAGTTATCTAACGTATTCTACATGCCTGAAATTTCATCTAAGATGAATCATGCTCTGAAACTGGCTCTTTCTCTCTGATGACTGTAAAGGGGATCTGGCTGACTAGCTCAGATGTAGATATGTATGCTGCAGGTACCTAAAGCTGACCAGATATCTGTCATCCAGTGGCTCAGAGGTGTAATTTGCAAAACCAGTGCATGCTCCGTGAAGAACATTTTCTGTATTGGTCATAATATTTGGGAAGTTTTGGGGGGGATTTCTGTTGGGTAGCACTGGATATAAACTAAGAATCTTAAAATCCCAAATTTTAATGTAAAGCAGCCCATCTTGCAAAGCAAACCAAGTTGACTAGAGTTGAGTGGCTTCAGGCAATATGAAAATATAAGACTGGATAATTTAAACAGTAGATGAGTGTTGTATATGACATAAAGGCTTATTTTGCATTTGGCAACACATTCATGCTTGTTTTCCATCACCTTCTGTTGGCCGGGTCTGTAGTGAGCTGGAGGCCAAGCGCCCCACGGTCTTGCAGGCTGGTGACGAGGATGACAGTGCATTTGAGGCCAATTTTGAGGCGGCTTCGGTGTGAGTACAGCTGGGTGCTTCAGCTGCTCTGCATGGAGTGCCTCTTGCATGATTTTGGCCTCCTTTTCCTGACTTGCTAATGGGGCTAGGGATCTGTATTGACAGATATTCAGCAGACATCGTTGGTGTGTTGAACTGATGAATTTGAATTAGAAATGAGGGAATGCTTCAACTCCACAGACTTTGTTGATTCTATTGTTGCACACAAATACAAGTCATGTGGGACACCAACTTTTACCCGTACATTTTCTCATTATTAATGTTTGCTTATTAGATTTGTGTTGCAGTAATTCTTAATAAATTTATGTTTCAGCTAAGTTTTAGTAGTGGGGTCTAGAAGTGTGTCAGATGAGCTTTGTAAGTTCTTTGAAATATTTTTTCACCAACATACTATAATTTCAGTAGGAATCCTCCTTTTTTGAAAAAAATTAGGCGGTCCTATGCTACATCCCCCTTGAAGCTGACATAATGTGAAGCAGTTTTAATCCAAGAAAGAAATCTTCACTTAAACAGTCAATTTTAACTTCATATCGCAGTTGTGCTTAGAATCTTCTCTAGGAAAATAATCAAATTCTCACTGATTCATATTCAACTGTATTGTTTTACAGCTACATTTGGAACCTCTATTTTACTCACCTGCCTCTCTAACGAAAGAGGCATTGATTATGAATGCATATGATTGGCATTTAAGAGGAGTATTAGGTAAATAAAAATACTTTTTTCTCCCTAACTAAAAATGGAAAGTGTTACTTGTAGCTAGCCAGTCAATGATTCTTTTCCCCACCAGTCGTTAGGGACCACAAAAGATATTTTAGTGCCAAAAGATATTTTAGTGCCTAAAGATGCAGCTTATATGCCAAATGAAATTTTCAACATTGCCAGAACAGGAAGCTAGTCACCTGTCTATGAAGGCTCTTCTGAAAGTCCCGCTGGGTTGCTGGTAAATAAACATTTTGGAAAAGCTGGTTCTAATTCTGTCCTTCACATTTTTTAGTCACAGCATCTAGCCAAATCTGTAATTGTGCCAGGAAGAGGAACCAGCTTTCCTGTTTTGTCAAATCCCAGTCAGTCTCTCAACTTTCAATGAAATAGTGTAGGTGAATGAAGTAGTAGCTCTACACTTGGTAACTAAACTGGGAGTGAAAGTAGTTTAAGGGAAAGCTTCGTGGCTTCTATTCATTCAATTTTAAACACAGGATACTAGCAATGTCAAATGATTAACGTGATGTTGTTGCACATTTATAAGGTTTGAATTAACCTTAAATGGAAAAATATTTTTATCTCTGCATTGTATCTACTGGAATCGTTAAGTTTACAAATTTGAGTACATGGTCACTGATGCAACATTTTTATTGATTTAAAGAATTTTAATACAGCATCTTAAGTTTAGGCCTTATTGCAATTTAGAATAAAATCTTAAAATTCCATTTTAAAAGCGTTTTTTAAAATATGATGCAGAGATCATCTGCTTTTGTCAGATTACGTGCTTATTATGTCCCCTCTACTTCCCTCACTAGTGTTGTAGTGAGGAATCTGTAAAAAGGGATCAAAGCAATTTATTGTCTCCATAAACTGAAAGCATCTTTTGTTCATCCAAGAAAGACACATATCTTTCACTACTGACTTTGTTTTGAGTTGTAACCCTAGTCCTTCCCAAGGAAGGGACAAAGTCTGCAATAAGTTTTTGCAGTGCTGTGTTCAGTTGGAAAGTATCCTGAGCAAAGGAGCTCCAATGTCTTTAACTGGAAACTCCTACACTGCATGTTCTTTACCAAGGAGAAACATGTAACAGTATTCATGTTAATTTTACAGCATGTTGCTCCTGCTGGTATCTCCGCTTTGTGTGTAGCTGTAGACTTCTATCTTGTTTTACAGTAGATTAACACCGTCAAGTTCAGTGAAATTACTTCTGATGGACGTGATTAGGGATTAAAATCACATTCTTGCGCTGTGCTGAATTTTCTTTCAGGCAATATTCTTGGTTATTTTTGGACTTTACTACCAAAATCAGTGGAAGGTTCAAGTTCTTCCTCAGCATTCTCCTTCCCACAGTGTTCATGTTTCTTTTCTTTCTAACGCTGTCAGCTGGTTTGGCACTTACTTTGCTTTTGTTTACCACATCAAACAGGTTGTGCACAGTCATCTGCTTTGTGTCAACCGATAAGTCTTCCAAAAAGAGAAGAATCCTTGATGCTGGTAAAGCAAAAAAAGACAGTATTGGCCAAATTCTGTTCTGTCTCACAATGCTCTATATCCAGAAAAGCTGTCTGAAGTCAATGGAGTTGCTCTGATTTACGCCAGGCTAATTGAGAGCAGACTTTGGCTTTTGTGCTGGGAAAAGTTGACTGTAAATGCTAAGGGCAACCAAAAAGAAAACTTGCAGGCCTTTTACATCCTTTTGGCAACCTTCTTCCAAAGTAAATGTATTACTTTTTTTGCTTGTGATTCAAAACAAATAAAGATCAAAATCTGCTTTATGTTAAAATAGTTTTTATGGAGAGTGAAGCCCAGCCTCATGTGTCTGTTACAAAATAAATAAATAAATAAATAAATTGATAATGGCTACTAAAGAAGGACGGCTGAAGGTTGCTTTAAGGATACATAGCTGCTGCAGCATGCTTCTAAATGATATGTCTTGCTGTTCCTGACCACCACTAGATTTGTTTTGCTGAAAATTTCTTTCTTTACCGTAATGGCATCGAGTGTCATAAAACCTGGGGGGAAATTTCAATCCTGTTAACCTATGGCATTTCAAATGCTTTGCTGTAGACATCTCCCAAGATTTTCTGCCCCTGTCCATATTTGGTGCTCTCAATTTGTAGTCCAGCATCCTGTTTCTTAAATGGTAGACTTTTAAAACCTTTTTTTTTTCTTTTTTTTTTTTTTTGTTGGTAAATGTAGCTTTTTACAACCACGCAGTGGATAAAGTCAAGGGAAAATGTGAGGAGTGGAACTAACACTATCCTGATGCTTTCATTATATGCCATAATTTCTGCTTATATAAGTATTAACACACAAATTGCTGTCTGTCTTTCAGTCCTGCAAGTTGGGAAATTCTTGGTTCTGTCTTAATGGAACAGGTGCTCTGCAAGGGCCCTGCACATACATAGCAGTGAACCAGAAACAACTACTACTCCCAGCTGGGTTTTCAAGCGAATCTGCTTCCCATTTGACTATGCGTTTCCCTTTGATAAATATTGCACCAAGAACATTCCCCTTCTCTCTCCTGTAGTGTCCTGCCTGTATTGCGCCAGCCGGACTTGGCAAATGCACCAGGGAAGCGGCTGGTAGATTTACCCTGACAGCTTTTATCGGCTTTTTGAGTGAACAAGTCTGTCTGAGTTTTGTAGAGGGATTTGTGTATTAATTATATGCAAATAATCTGAGATTTATTAAGTTGTGTATTGATCTTTACTTCATTTTACTAGACCCTCTTTTTTCAATCTTCCTTTTTACTATTTTTTGTAGCTCTCATTTGCTTTATATCATCAAAAACTACACAAAATAATTACTAGGATTAGTCATTATACCTGTTCATCTGGAGATAAGCAAGCCTTCATTAGGACGTTCTTATTGGTATAGATCTATTTGAAGCCTGGCATGCAGAAGAGCTAACGGGCTGTCAGAGTGAAGTCTGCATCCTCATTTAGCAACAGAAGCTGGACGTAACCAAGAATCTTTTTTAGAC